ATTATGTTACATATATTAACAGCTGCAAGGATTTTGTATGCACAACTCTGGAAGGAAAAAAGGGTTCCACCAGAAGTCATGGTTATTAAAAAAAATAATAGATTGTATAGAGATGGACAGGCTAACGATGAAAATAAAAGACAGAGAAGATTCAATTTATTATAGGGCCTGGGATGCCTGGTATGAGTGGTTTAGAAATAAAAAGAAAATAAAATGGCAATTAGGAAAAGAATGAGGGAATATGTAAATAGGTAAATATACCATGGAGAAGATTGAGATGTAAGGATAAAAGATATTGATTTATAGTAAGAGTAAGATGTAATGGTAAAGGAATAAGTAAATACATATACTGAAAAATGTGAGGAAATGGAAAAGATGTCTTGATGTTGATTACAATGTATAAAGTTTTGTTTTATGTTTTTTAAAATTTGGAAAATTAATAAAAAAAATATTTTAAAAAAAGAAGAAAATAGGAGAACAAATAGGACCTCTCATGGTGGAAGTATATAATGAGGTTCTACTTGCAGCTAGAATACCGGATTCATGGAAGGAGACACTGATCTTGTTGATCCCGAAAGAAGACTCAGATTCACGACTCATACAAAATTATAGACCAATCTCTCTGTTAAATACTGATTATAAAATAATTACTACAATTATAGCAAATAGACTAAAAAAGATAATGAATATATACATAAAGATCAAAACGGATTTCTTCCCAATAGACAAATTAGGAACAATTTAAGAATAGTGTTAAATGTCTTGAAATACTACGAAGCCCATCCAGAAAAACAAATAGCCCTTGTATTCTTGGATGCACAGAAGGCCTTTGACAACCTAAATTGGCAATTTCTAATTCAACAAATTTACAATATGAATTTAGGCACTAAATTCGAAAACATCGGAACTACAATTTACGACTTACAAAAGGTGAATATTATAATTAACGGAGAGTATACGCGCTCAATAAAAATAGAGAAAGGAGTTAGGTAGGGGTGCCCATTATCTCCCCTGCTCTTCATATTAACTTTGGAAACATTGCTTACACGAATTAGACAGAACCCAGGAATAAAGGGGCTAAAAATTAAGAAAGAATACAAACTGCAGTCATTTGCGGATGATATGGTTTTTTTTTATAGAGGAACCAATTGAAGCAGGTCAAGAACTACTGAAAGAGTTAGATCAATTTGGGAAAGTTTCAGGACTTAAAATTAATAGGGAAAAATGAAATTAATAACTAAAAAACTAACAGAAAAACAAATTAAAACTGGAAAGGATAATGGGACTACAAGTGGTAAAAAAAAATTAAATACTTAGGAATTTGGCTGACAGCTCATTGCAAAACCCTAATGGAAAATAATTATAGTAAATTATTACAAGTCAAAAAAAGACTTAGAGCTATGGATTAAATTACAAATTTCCCTATTAGAGAGGATTGCTACTGTTAAAATGAACATTCTTCCTAAATTTATCTATCTATTCCAAACAATACCAATAACAATACATAAAAATTATTTTGTGGAACTGAATAGGATAACCACCAAATTTATTTGGCAAGGCAAAAATCAAGAGGATAAATCCAAAGGCAATGCAAGATATGAAGAGCGGGGGGGTGGTGGTTAATGGCACTCCCAAATTGGGAACATACTATAGCACAGCCTCCTTACTTTGGTTGAAAGAGTGGGTAAACTTGTCGAATAAAAGAATCCTATTTCTAGAAGGCCACAACTTTCAGAGGAGGTGGCATGCATTTTTGGGGACACCGGAAAAACCAAACAGAATTATTTCCACAGACATATAACTAGAGACTCTTTATTGGCTAATTGGAATAAAAAAAACATTATCTAAAAATCCCAATTTGGATCTCAATCCAAATAATTTGGATCTTAACAAGATGATAAAATACAAAGACCTTCTAGATGCGCAAGGAACTTTAAAATCTTGGCAGGATCTCCAAGAACAAGGGCTACGAGTAGACCGGTGGGCTTACCTGCAAATTCAAAATAGATATATTCAGGATAAGAAAAATTTCGGAATTTACGGTAAGCTACAACAACTAGATAAAATCTTATTAGGTCCAGATTAAAGAAATATAACCAAATTCTATAATTATCTATTAGAGATAGAATTAGAAGAGGAAGTAGTCAAAGTCAACATGATAGCTTGGAGTAGAAATATAGGACGTAGCATCACATCAGAATGGGAAAAGGTCTGGATCAGGAATAATAAAATCACAAAATCAGCAACATATAAAGAAAATGCCTATAAAATGTTTTATAGATGGTACCTCTCCCCTTCGAGAATAGCGAAGATGTCTCCTAACATGAATCCGAATTGCTGGAAATGTAAAAAGAAACACAGAACATTCTTTCATATGTGGTGGTCCTGCACTGAAACCCAAAGATACTGGCATAGAATTAAAAAATGGTTAGAGGAAATAACGATGGAGCAAATTGAATTAAAACCAGAATTCTTCCTATTAGGGATATTTAATAGACAACTTTCTAAAAAAGCTAAATATATAATATTGCACATTCTTACTGCAGCCAGATTAGCCTTCACACAGTGTTGGAAACAAGCTGACATTCCAGCAGAGGAAATGATCATTCAGAAAATAACAGCCTGTGCAGAGATGGATTAATTAACCCTAGCACTTAAGGATAAAGAATCATCAGAATATTATAAAAGCTGGCAATGTTGGTAGGATTGGATAGAACAAAAATAGAAAATATATTAGTAAATATTGTTAAATTGTAATAGAGGTAGTAATTACACATTCGCAATAAGACTTATTTGTAAATATGACACCAATAATAACAAATAAGGAACCACAGACTGTTGATAATGGAACTGTTTTTATTATTTCTCTTTTCCTTTTTTTTCTTTATGTTGTGCATGTGTTTGTTTGTTATTTTAGTTGTATAATCAATAAAGTTTGCTTTAAAAAAAAGAAAAGAGGACTTTGGATCACTGAGCAACAGACCAGTTCTGTTTTTCTTTAGCCCAGGTAAGACTCTTCTGACGTTTGTTGTTCAGGAGTGGCTTGACAAAAGGAATACGACATTTGAAGCCCATGTCCAGGATCCGTCTGTGTGTGGTGGCTCTTGATGCACTGACTCCAGCCTCAGTCCACTCCTTGTGAATGTCCCCAACACTTTTGAATGGCCTTTTCCTGACAATCCTCTCCAGGCTGCAGTCATCCCTGCTGCTTGTGCACCTTTTTCTTCCACACTTTTCCCTTCCACATAACTTTCTATTAATGTGCTTTGATACAGCACTTCTTTTGCAATTACCTCTTGAGGCTTTCCCTCCTTATGGAGGGTGTCAATGATGGTTTTCTGCACAACTGTCAGGTCAGCAGTCTTTCCCATGATTATGATTCCTACTGAACCAGACTGAGAGACCATTTAAAGGCTCAGGAACCCTTTGCAGGTGTTATGGTTTAATTAGCTGATTAGAGTGGGACACTCTGAGCCTAGCATATTGAACCTTTCACAATATTCTAATTTTCTGAGATGGTGGATTTGGGGTTTTCATGAGCTGTAAGCCATAATCATCTCAATTATGACACATCACGGCTTGAACTATCTTGCTTTGCATGTAATGAGTCTACCTCATATATTAGTTTCACCTTTTAAGTTGCATTACTGAAATAAATGAACTTTTGCACAATATTCTAATTTTTTGAGTTTCACCTGTATTCCTGCACCTGGAGGAGGAGTGGTTGAAGGGATGTCTCAAGTTGGGACGGTTGGTGATTGGACCATGTGATGGACTAATGGGTGCAGGGGTTGGATTTTGACTTTTTAATTACTAAGGGAAAACCCAGAACTCTCAGATTTGGGTTTTCCCAGATGTGCCAGTATACCTACTCTAATAAAAGGAAACTTTGAGAAAATGCCTATCTCTGAGTTTTTAATTGGAGTTGGGTTTTTCTGGAACCCTGACAGTCCCAAAATGCTAGAGAATTCCTGGAAGTCTGGCATGCTGACAAATCACCCATCAATAGAAACATAGACATAAAGATCTACATACCATTTCAAAAGAGACAATCAAAAATAAAGGAAACAAAAAGACCAAAACACCTCCTGCCCAGCAATCAACACACAGATGAGCAGAGATTAACACCAAGATTATTATTAGACCAACAATCAAGAAGCAAACAATACCCTAATCAAGGAACTGTCAAACAAGCTAACAGTAAACAACAGCCCAATCAAGGAACCACCAAGACCACTCCCGCCAACACTGCTGGGGAAGCCACTAGAATATAAAATGAAAGCAAACACCACTCCCTACTAGCACTGATAGTAATAAAATGTCTGCAAGAAAACAACTGAACTCAAGGAGTACCAAGGACCCCACAGTTCAACCCTGAGCTACAAATATGCTTTTCTATAAGTTTGAAAATTGATAGCAATATTCATTCGATATTATCCTTGACATGTTTAACTCCTCCTCTTGGAAAATCATGACATGATACAAGGTCCTTCATTTTCTACATCTCCAGTTTTTTTCTCCTAACAACCCTTAGAGGTAGGTTACAATAGACTTGAGTGATAGTGATTTGCCCAAGATCACAGTTCACATACCTGGGAAAAGAGCCTTGATCCTGCCTCTTGGACCTAATTGAAAGTTCTGACAACTACACCACAAAGCCTTTCTCAGTGTAATAATACAATCACATTCAAATTATCTATGAAAATGAAAAGTAAATTACTAAATATGATGACTTCTTTTTATAATAATGTTATTAAGTTTATCAAGATTTAAAATACAAAAGAAAGTGAAGATAGTGGGACAATGGGGAGAGAAAGAAGTATAGTGTAGAAAGGAAAAAAGAAAAGAAAAAAACATTGACTTCTGACTCTTTAGTGCAGTAGAATAAGACAGTAACATTACAGCCTCAACTTTTTACTTTTACACACTAAGATGTATTGGCTATTTCTATAACAAACTTATTTAATCAGCAATAATAATGATGACTTCTGTCCTTCCAGAAAAAACTCTTATGGCTATCGAAAAAAGAGAGATGACAAGTTCACGGTGAGTATGAGGCTAGAAGATTCTTCACTAACACAACCTCAATGTGGAATGATTTGAAGTGATGATATACAGCAACTAAATAATAAAAACATCTATTCTAAATAACTCCAAATTATGCCAAGGTTGATGCTGACTCAAATTTCCATCAGATGTTCAAGTTGTTAAAGCAATTTTACAAAAATCTCCTCTATTTGAATTCCTTTTCTGTCCAAAAATGAATCTGTTCTACAAAACATCGGAAAAAAATCTCCCATAACAAAATAACTGATTCTCATTTTAGCTCTCAATGCTTTCCCACGCACTCCTAGGTTTTTTAACTAACCGTGTTCTTATACTTTCCCTACCAACTATAATTTCCACCTCTTTTTACTTATGCTTTTAAGTGGCATAATGTTTTGTTTGAAGACTTGAATGTGCCTTTCCATTTTTCCCACAGAACATAGCTATGCTTGCATTTAACACTATATTTGTTTCATATTTTGGTCATATTGGTAAGGAGAAGAAACATTTTAATGTCATATTGGTAAGGAGAAGAAACATTTTAATGGCACTTAATGGTTGGAAATTCTAACTTTTAAAAAAGAAGATAAAAACTAATACCAAGCTGATATAAAGTAAAGAAGAAAAAAAGTGAAGAGAAAGCAAAAAGTGCAAGAAAAGAAAAGGTTGAAGAAAAATAGAAAAGAAAGAAAATACATACAAAGAAGTGGCTTCTGATATTGTTCACAGCAGTTATAAGTACCGTTATATTTTAACCTCTCTAAAGTTACATCATAATGCTCTTCTTTCTATAATCTGTCCTGTCTAATCGTCAAAGCCATAAATTACAAGTTCATTTGTTTCAGTTTTACACAAAAAGTCCATAAGAGATTTCCAGTCACCAATAAATATAGATGGTGTATTTTCTGTAAACAAAGACGTTAATTTACCCATCTCAGCAAGATCTGTCAATTTCACCAACCATTTCTCCCAAGTGGATAGTATTGAATCTTTCCATCTCTCTGGGTGGTTGCTTTTCATGCATAAAATTCTCAAGGTGTGCCCAGAAAATCTGCAGTAACTTTTTACTACTTAAAGTAGGAACTGGAAAAAAAAAATATTAACCTAGGCTTCTTCAAATGATATGATGGTAAAGAGCTTTCTTTGTTGCATTATCTGCCCTCTGGGACAACATCCCCTGGATATAAGCTCCCCTCCCAGTCTTCTGCCTTCAAGACGGCCTTAAAATCATTTTTTGAGTTGGGCAGGCTAGAAATTGGAGGATTAATAGATTGATGGCTGAGTGGGTGGGTGGGTGGAGTTATTAGTCCACTATGTATGACCAATGTTTAAAATACATTGTATTGCATTCTAAATTGTAAATGATAAATTTAAAATTATATCATCTACAGAGGCATAGCCTGTTGGCAGGAAAGAAATGTTTTTCATAAATAGAAAGTTGGAAGATGTACCTCATTCATGACTGCTTGAGCATGAGGTATACAGTTGTGTTTCTTTAGATTTTGGTTGTTTTCTAACAGTTTGTGCCCTTTTCCTTGAGGATTGATGTTGCCCCGCTTTCGTACCCTATGCTTCTCTTTCAGAGAGGACAAACGCAGTCTCCACCATCTCCAAAGCCACCATCTCCAAACTTTGAGCTGGGGTTGTCCAGTTTTCCTCCCTTGCCTGGAGCTGCTGGGAATCTAAAGACTGAAGACTTGTTTGAAAAACAGTTGTCAAATGTGATTGTTGCAACATCAAAAGAAAAAGTAAAAATCCACAGGTGTCGGGCAAGGGTGAATTTTGGGACACATACTTGTTCACTCTTAGAATCATAATTCCTTAATTTCTTAATGGTACTTGTGATTGCTCTGAGAAAAGAGGCTCCAGAACACCCATCTATAAAGTACTATCTCCAGCAAGCTAATAGTCAATTTTGTATACAGGTAGTCCTCAGCTTACCACCATAATTGAGCCCATAATTTCGGCTGTAAGTCATGATGATCATAAAGCAGATCACCACATGACCAAATCCAATTTTATGACCTTTTTTGTGGTGGTTATCTGAACAAGGCAGTTGTAAAGCAAATCCATTGTTTGCTATGGGGCTTTTTTTTTGCCGGAAGCAGAAAAAGTAAACATCACATGACTGTGGGACACTGCAAATGACTGTAAATGTGGACTGGTTATTGAACGCCCAAAATGTACTAATGTTACCGGGGGTGGGGTGCAGAACTTTTTTCCAAAAATATTTTTTTTTATTAAGTTATAAAGTATTATAAAATTCAAAATACAAAAGTAAATAAAAGAGCAGTAAGGAGGGAGGGGAAAGAGAATTGAGGAAAGGTAGGGAAAAGAAAAGAAAAAGCTTTGACTTCTGACTGTTGCAGTAGAATCAGGCATTAGCATCAAAACACAGCTTTTTGTTTTTCCATAATAATATGAACAAGTCATTTCTATAAAGATCAATCAATCTATAAAACCCGAAGTCAAAGTTACATTCTTTTCCATATCAAGCAGGAAAATCAGAAGCCGTTTCCATGTGGAAATAAAACTACTTTTGTTGTTTTCTTTAATCAGAGTAGTCAGTTTTGCCATTTCAGTTAACTCAATCGACTTCTGCATCCATTCTTCCATGGTAGATATCAAAGTGTCTTTCCATTTTTGTGCATACAATAGTCTTGCTGCTGTCAACATGCGTAGCAACAAAGTTCCAAATTTTTTATCCAGTTCTTTTCCATTAGTTCCAAAAGGAAAAAATCTGGTTTCATTTCTATCTCGCATTTTCAAGATTTTTGTATTATAAAAAAGAATTTTTATTTTTTTTCCTTTATCATATGTCCACCATAGATGATAAAAAGTCCCTTCTTTATTTTTACACTTCCAACATTCATTTGACATGCCTTTATACATCTTATATAGCTTATCTGGTGTTAAATACCAGTGATATATCATCTTATAAAAATTCTCTTTTAAATTATAACAATGTAAATTTTAAACCCTTTGTCCACATATTTTCCCATTGTTCAAGCATCACATATCCAAAATTCCTTGCCCACTGAATCATACAATGTTTTGCATGTTCATTTTCAAAGTTCAGTTTCAATAACATTTTATAAATCTTAGCAATAATATGTTCATTGTTGCCACATAATGAAAGTTCCAATTCATTTTTAACCAAGTCAAAACCCAAGCACTTTTTATCCAATTTAAACCTTTCTTTCAATTGCTCATAAGTAAACCAATGGCAAGCATAACCTTCTGATTCAAGTTCTTCCCTCAGCTTTAGTATTGGGTCACCAGAATTGAAAGATAAAATTTTACCCTACGTCAACCAATCTGGCTTTGCCACCATTTCTTTTCTAATAAGAGCTTCCTGCGGTGACACCCAGAGGGGCAGCTTTGTAGAGAGCCTTGTTTTATATTTATTCCAAACTTAATGTGGCACATCTAACATAATGGTTATTAAAATCAACATTAACTTTACTTTTGTCATACAATAAGTAGCTGTGCCGAACTTTTAATCCAGGTCATAAGTAGTTTTTTCATTTGCTAAGCAACCTGTTGTAAGTCGAGGAGTAGCTATAGTGTTGTTGTACTTGCCAATACATACATACAGTGCATTCTGAAAGTATTCAGACCCACTTCACTTTTGTCAATTTTGTTATGCTGCAGCCTGATTTCACAGTTATTGAAATTCATTTTTTCTCATTAATCTACACTCAATACCCCAAAATGACAAAGTAAAAACAGAATTTTAGAAATGTCTGTAAATTTATTTAAAAAAGAAAAAAACTGAACTATCACATTGGCATAAGTATTCAGACCCTTTGGAACAACAAAGCTCAATCTAACAAAATGAAATTCAATGATGAAAAAAAGTAAGGTTCTACATTTAGGCAAGAAAAACAAAATGTACAGGTACAGTATATGTGGTACCTTGCTCAATAGTGGTGACTGTGAGAGGGATCTCAGAGTCCTAGTGGACAACCATTTAAATATGAGCCAGCAGTGTGCAGCAGTTGCCAAAAAAGCCAACACAGTCCTAGGCTGCATGAAAGAGTAGAATCAAGAGGGATAGAATCAAGATCACGTGAAGTGGTAAGGCCACACTTGGAATACTGCATTCAGTCTTGGTCGCCACGATGTGAAAAAGATGTTGAGACTCTAGAAAGAGTGTAGATAAGAGCAACAAAGATGATTAGGGGACTGGAGGCTAAAACATAAGAAGAATGGTTGCAGGAACTGGATATGTCTAGTTTAATGAAAAGAAGGACTAGGGGAGACATGATAGCAGTGTTCCAATATCTCGGGCTGCCACAAAGAAGAGGGAATCAAGCTATTCTCCAAAGCACCTGAGGGGAGGACAAGAAGCAATGGGTGGAAACTAATCAAGGAGAGAAGCAACTTAGAACTAAGGAGAAATTTCCTGACAGTTAGAACAATTTATCAGTGGAACAATTTGCCTCCAGAAGTTGTGAATGATCCAACACTGGAAATTTTTTAAAAGAAGTTGGATAACCATTTGTCTGAAGTGGTTTAGGGTTTCCTGCCTAAGCAGGGGGTTGGACTAGAAGGCCTCTAAGGTCCCTTCCAACTCTGTTATTCCAGGGGTCTTCAAACTTGGCAGCTTTAAGACTTGTGGACTTCAACACCCATAATTCCTCCAGTCATGTTAGCTCAGGAATTCTGGGAGTTGAAGTCCATA